AGGGTCCCAGACTGTTTTGTCTTTCTAGTTCTTAGTCAGCAAGTTCCATTTACTTCACTTGTAGGCTTCATTGATATGTGATCAACCACCACATGCTCCTGTCCTCTCGGCAGTTTTCCCCAGGAGACAGATGCCGAAATTGTCCATGGCAATGTGGTTACATTAAAATGAATCAGATGTATAGGTCTGATGAAACCTATCACTAGCTTCCACTAAATGTATACTACAATAGACATACTAATTCCCCAAAGCCCCAAAGTGTCTCATTTCTTTGTCTCTATCCTTATTATCCCAACACACTGTCTCACAACCCTATCTCTTTCCTCTTCCATCTTCATATGCTTCTCTTGAAACCCTTCTCATCAACTGCTATTCCAACAACCCGAAACCCTTTCCTTCCACTCTTTATCTCACTCACTCATCTTTCAACTCTGCTATCACATCCTCCAGGAAGCAATCCTAAGAGCCAGACGAGATTAGCTTTTAGGAATATACTATATTTGCTCTGGACCTTCTTTTGTAATATGGTTTGTTCAAGTCTGCATACTATAGATGTGAGTTCCATGAGGGAGAGAACTTGCTTGTAATGCACACTGCTGTGTGTCTAGTATTGTCCTGGCCTAGAGAAAAATACTCATTTATGTGTGTTGTGTGTATGAATGAATGAATGAATAAATGAATTTATGAAGTTACAATCTCAGAGAATACTAGTACTCTTCCCAAACTTAGTTTAATATGAAACATTGTAAGTCATCAGAATTGATAAAATAGTCAAGTGTATAATATAGGTCAATGATAATTTAAACTAAAATGACCTACAATTCCACAGGAAGAGGGAAGTATGCTTCATTTTATATCTGTGTCCCATTACTTGTTTATAAAATGTGCCTGATCTTATAATAACACACTTATTAAAAAATATAAAATAGCTTTTTCTAAAAATGTTGAAAAACCTCACTGCTTAATTAGTGCCAGTATAGGAAGTATTAGTTTTCTCTCCTGAAACAAGATGGAATGGTTTCCACAGTGTGGACTGTGAGAAAAAGAGCATTTTTTTAAGGAATTTTTCTCTGTTGGTAAGTATATTCTTTTTTTTTTCCCCCATCACCATCCTCTTAAATTTCACTTTTAAAAAATCTGAAATTTTCTTTTTGAAAATCAAAGCTGATGTTATTATTTTGCCAACAGCCACATTCCACTTCAAAAAAGGTTGCTCAAATACACAGACTGAATACACCAATGGAAAACTTGAGTGCAGCCTGATACCAAGGCCCTTGAGGGGTTTCAGTCCCTGCAAAGGTGGATACCTCTGGTCTTAACCTAAAATCACTTTCAGATCAAAGGGTGGGTGTGCCAGGTTAGGCCATGGAAGTATGTATAAGGCTGTGATGGTTGGAAGAAATCTGATGTACTGAATTATTTGAGTGGCAAAAAATTATTTTAAAGCTTGAAATGAATTATCACAAACTCCAAAATTTTTGTGAACTCTATCCAAAACCACACAAAAGTAAGCAAAGGAAAATTCTTGGAAGCTCTCTAAGAAATGAACAATGTGCTCACACCTCAAAAATATTTTTTCCCAACAATTATGTGCCCAAAGTGAGTATCACTGATACCTAAGCCTCTCTCCATGGGTTGTGGAGAATTTCTTCAAGGACAGTGGAGAGTAAAAGCCACCATCTTTGTATTATAATCCACAAAGTGTCAAAGAAAGCAATGTTGGAGTTTATTCAGGACTTTGAGTATATGTTGGTGTCTGTCTGACGGACAGATTCAGGTAGCTCTTGGCGGTGGAGGGAGTCATATAGTTACTCTTTTATTAGATCAGGGCCTCCTATTAGATGCCTTGCCACTTGATCACATAGAGGTGCCATGTTTCTATGTGTCTTTTGGTGAGGTGAATACATCCTTCTAAATGGCAACTGAAAGTGTAATAAGAACTCATTTATGTCTAGGACAGTAAATCAGGACACATAAATAATTCAATCAGCTGCTGGGTCCTGGTCTTTCCAAATCTGCAGTCTTTCTTGATTTCTACCACTGACGTCCCCCTCCACCACCAAACCCTCTCCTCCCACTCCTACCCCACCTTAAAATCCAAGTTTTTGCCAAACCCTATGTAAGATCAATCTTCCCTTCTTCAGACCCCAATCCCATCATGTAACTCCCACCTCAACCCCTTCACTGAGAATAAGGTCCCACTTGAGTTTTAGTGATCTGGCCATCACCTACCTTATTTGCTTCCCCTTTCTGCTAGTGACCCTTCTCTCCATGCTGTACCTGTCTTGACTGGGAGGTGTTGATGCTGATCCCAGAAGTTGTAAATGTGTAAATGTATGTGGATATGTTTTGGTTTACAATTACACAATGTGTAATTGTATGTGGACATGTTTTGATTTATAATTTCACAAGGACTGGGAAAGGGGGAGGTAAGGGTACCAATGTTTACTCTCAGGAGCCAGGGGTGTTTAGGGTGCTGAAACTTGTCAGTCTGGGCAAAGTCTCAGGTCCAGAGCCCCGATGAGAAATGCTGCCTCCAGCTTCTCAGTTTCCTCAGCAGCACGTATCTGATGTGACTGCATTGTACTGGCCAAGGAGGTTCCCTTTCTCATCACACATTATCATCTTTTTCCTTGAAGAGCCTTCCTTGATCCACTAGACTTGATTGTGTCCCTGTATTATAAATCCTACCTGCTGCCTGTAGCATGCAGGTGCTAGTGTTCTTGCCACCAGATTTCCTTTGATCATTTTCCTGCCATGACACGATAGATTTTCCCAGATTGCTCTGATGACAACATTCCTTGATCTTAATTCTATATTGACTCATCAATGCCCATTAAGGCCCAGTATCTTAACCTTACATTCAAAGCCCTCTACACTGCAGTTTTCGACTACCTTCCAAATGTATATGTAATATAATATAAGTACACATGACTTGATCTGTATTAAACTATGACAGTTATTTTCTACCATGTACTGGCATTATCCATGTTTAAGTCTAAATTCCCATAAGACTACAAACTTTTTGAAAGTAAGACTCATGCTTATTCACTGATTTGTCACTCTTAGAATCTACTACAAGTGTCTTAGGCATACACAAGACATGAGTGAAAAAAGGATAACGGACAGTAATGTAATCATTTTGCTCTGTATTAGTAGGCAGACTCTAGAAGTGAATTGTAAAATATTCAATTTGTTAAAGAAAGTCAACTGATGAACAAGAACACCAATATTCTTTGTTGTTCTATGTGCTAAATTTACAAATAAACTTAGTATTTACAATTGATTTCACTTTTGATAGCTTATTCAATTGATTAATTTGCATCATATTTACATCAAAATTAAGAGAAAATTTCTATGCTGAGGTTTAATATAATAAAATAATGATATTGACAATAGTGGTGATAATAATAAAGATAGATAAAAAAGTCACCCCACTGATTGACTGTTAGACAAACTGCCAAATTTGAGAGAACCAGAAAGGGGTGGCATAAACTCACATGAAATTAACTTGGGGATAAGTCTCAGGCAAATTAGTAATTCTTGGGAGTTGATCTGCTTTTAAACACAGACTACCTTAGGTAATGGATTTGCACAAAGGAATCTAGGTAAACTGCTAACAATGCACCCTAAACTACAAATCACCATCAAAGCATATAATAACAACTCCACAATTCGAAAACTGTTGTCTTTACTGTAAAATGAGCCCATGCTAGTTCCTTCTGAAGCAGATAAATAAATGACTGTCTTGTAAAACTTCCGAGAGTCTGAAGATAAGTACTTTGGAGTTTGGAACATAGTGCAGTGTCTACATGAGAAAGGTAATGGGGTCTGCAGTTAGGATCTGTGGTCAGTCCATGCTGGCTATTCACCAGCTCTTCCTAAGTACAAAACTCTAGGCTTATGCACAAGAGGAAAACTACCAAAACTGCTCTTACATAAATCAGATTTACATCTTGTTACAAGGCCATCCTATTGCTACGATGACTCTTCCACTTGCAAAGCCTTACTCACAAAACCATTTCAAAAGAAATCAAACCCACCGTGCATACAGCTGAATCATAAGGCAGCTTTAGAGTTGACAGAAAGTGATTCACTAGAATGCTCCTTCTGGGGGTTTGGCTAAAAATAAAAAAATTTTATTTTCTAATCTAGGAATTTAGGAACTTTCAAAGGAAAAGGAGGTCTGATATAATGGAAAGAATAAGTCACAGGGTATAATAAGCTGATTGTGCATTTTCTGTCAGTATTTAACAATTTTAAGAAAATGAAGGAGGGTGAATCATTTGTTTGAAGTACAAACACACTGAAACAGAAAAAAACTTGGAAAAATCCTATTGTGAGAACTTTTGAACAACATTTGGAGTAATTTTTTCCCCAGCGGAATTATAACCATCTGAGAAGGATAACAGAGTAACAACTTCATGATACTATCATTTTCTGAGACTAAAAGCTCTGTCTATCTTTTAAGAGGCAACTGCTTGGTTGTTTTAAGAAGTATGAACAAATATAGTAACACATCTCACTTTTCTAGGAAAAACTAAAAACAATAGAATTATTTCTCAAACAAACTTTGTTTGAAAAGCTCTCTGTCAAGGAAGGTAAAACTCTTCCAGAACTAGATGGAAGAATAAATAGGAGTTGAGTAAGCTCAAGTAACTTATAGAAAAACTACAAACTCATAGATAAGATACACTGATGTTTCATTATACTACAGAGCTTTTCTTCAAGATCCTGGCCTTAACAGTTACTAAAAATTAAATCCTAATATTAGAAGCTCTTCAGGCAACTGGAGAGAAAATGGATTTTGAGAGCTAGAGAGTATGAAACCTACAAGCCATAAGTAGAGACTAGCTCTCATTAGATTTTGGGTTTGTTTTTCTTCTGAAACTTGTTCTTGTGATCACTTGTTCTGTGGATCTGGGGGGAAAAACTGTGAACAACTGGCACCAGAGGGACTACAAAGCTACTTGCTGACAGTTGAAATCATGAAGCGTTACCATGCTCCAGCGCTTTCATGGGAAACCAGAAGAGGATGAGGGAGTGGACCAAGGCGTTGATGCAGTGACCCCAGAAAACCTAAGGGAAAACAAACCAAGGGAGTCAGAAGTGGCCCACAACTCTTGACCTCTGCGTAACTCAACAAACGTCGCATTGTAAAGGATGCTGGCTGTGCACTGCTCAGCTCCAGAAGTAGCTTATTATTCTTGACGTTAAAAAAAAAATAAAACACTTTCCTCATTTCTACATTACAAATGACTAGGCTGGTTTTAGATAATATATTAGTACAAGGCCTAAATATATATACTCATATATACAGACTAATATACAATCTATTCTCATTTGAAAAATGAATTATGATTGATTTTTCTTTAGAATCGTAAGAAAGGCAGTACAATTTTACAGTCATCCAGAAAGGGGTATTAAGTAAAAACTGTTCATCAGAGACTGAAACTGCACTGTTTGAAGGTGTTAAAACACTTTAAATGTAAATTCTTATATGATATCCTCATTCTTTTCTTTCATTCCTAAAAATCCCTCCCATTAAAACTTTTAATGCTCAGGATTTTGGTTAATATCATGCACCTTTTAAAATTCTCTTTATTTTAACAAACACTTGAAAGGTCAAGCAAAGGGACACAAGTTTTATTTTTTAATAAGCTGTAGTTTCATAAATGCCTTTCAATCACCTTTTACATCACTGAGAAGACACTGATAAAGTTAGGTTAAACTTATTTAAAAATATACAGATTATTCTGGAAATTGTAATACAGCTGGATCTTAAGTAGTGCTGTGCTAAGAGGAAAAAAATTTAAGACAATGGGATTTTCTGAATCTCTGTACCACAAACAATAAAAAATCCTTCAGGGTGCTTGTAAGTTTCAGTGTATGCTCAGCTCTATTGCTTTTTGAATGGGCCCACTTGCTAATAACTTCTCAATTTATACAGCTTTTGCATTCAAACTATAGAAAACAGATGTGCTTTACATGGATAATGCAGAAAAATAGGTCGTATTTCCCATCGCTGGAATCACGGTAGAGAAGGACTATTACAATTAGTTAAGTCTCCTTGTGTGTGGAAAACACTGGGACCAACAGGAACCTTTTTACTGTTTCCTGCTTTGGACATGTCTGCTGTGCATTCCAAAGAAAAAGGCAGCCTTGGAGGAAGGTAATGGTACCACCCAGCTCTAAAGGAAGCATTGAGTAGTGATGTATTCTATGGAGGACCTTCTACACCATCCTTACTCCATGCCCAGAAAATACTTAAGCAAATCAACACACTATATTTTAAGGGACCGGGGCTACAGACTCTGTTTAAACTTCCTAACCCTGTTCTACACAAACAACTAAGACAGAAATACAGCAATGAGGCCATGTCCACCTCTTCCCCTCCTGCAGGGTGCCAAGCACATGTCTCCTTTCTGGCAGTGGCTCTCAACAGCCACATTCTTAGGTGCAACTGGCAGGATGGTGAGGCCTCTTTTACCTGTCACAACTGCAGAATCCCTAGCTCCTGCTTGGGTCTTCTCAAGATTGCTAGACTTCTTTTTTTTTTTTGGTCAAGATATCATTAAATAATATTTTCAACATATTTTTAGTACGGAGCTAATGAAAGGTGTGTGGCATAGCTAGCAAGGAGGGAAAGCTACATCTTTTTTTTTTTTTTTCTTTTCTTTCAGATTTGTGTATACAGAACTGGGGGACAGGCCAGAGGCACAGGGGCGGTGAGAGGATTCACCAGAGTCAAGAGTGGTCAGCAGAACAGGCAGATGGATGAAGGACACTGCTGAGGGGAGCAGAGGGCGAGACAGGAGAGGTCTGCCGCGCCATGTGGGTCACCTCTAGCAGCTGCTGCTAGCTTCCAGTGCTGCATCCTAACCCACTGATCCACCAGGGTGGGCCAGGATTGGCTAGACTTTTAGTCAAGATGCTTTCTCTCTTCTTTGTCTCTAGACAGAAAAAAATGTGCCTATGACTGACTTAATCCCTGTGTTCAGATCTGGTTAATTTTACTCAGTAGCTAAGGAAACAATCTCTTTTCAATGACTAACCAAGCAAAAGGGCTCACTTAAGCAATATCCTGGCCTGATACCACGCAGGCCTTTCTGAAAGGCAGCAGGGAGGGGTCTCCACCTTTGCATGATCCCAAGCAAACCAGGGTCATGAGTGTGCTGGTCACTGTGATGTCACAGGCACATGTGGGTAAGAGGGTAGAGCAGACAATAGCTGGGACAGCAAGAAGCATCACAGGCAATGTAGAAACTTCCTTTCTCATGTGGTATCTTGACCTTACTGGACTATTATGTTGGGAGAGTCTTATAGTCTCAGTACTTTTCAAGCATTCTCTTTAAAACTTCAGCTTTGGGCCCTCCCTGGTGGTGCAGCGGGTAAAGCACAGCACTAAGAAGCTAAAGCCACTTCAGCATGAGTTCCATCCCCACCCCGGCGGTGACCCACATGGTGCAGCAGACCTCTCCTGACCCGCCCGCTGCTCCCCTCAGCAGTGTGTTTCTTCAGTCAGCCTGTTCTGCTCCCCACTCTGTCTCTTGTGAATCCTCTCACTGCCCCTGTACCTTTGGCCTGTACCCTAGTTCTGTATGCACAAATAAATAAATCTTTAAAAAAAAAATAAACCAGTTTTCTCAGAGGCAGTAACCTACAGTTGGAAGAGAAAAGGGCAGCACTTAAAATTTTTTGAGGTGAAAATATTCCATTTACCTTTGTATTGAAGCCTTCAGCATTCTGTGTAATTTTGTAGAGTTGGGGAAACCTGAGCATGCTCTCCTGAGTACAAGATCTCTCGAAGATTCCCAGAGTGAAGGGCGGTAATGCTGTGAAAATCTGTGTGGAGAACAGTCATTAAAAGAGGCCTTTGTCCTTTTCACTAAACACAGTTGAAGCATTTCAATTCTATGGAATGATGACTTAATTTCCAGTCAAGTCCAAACCTGAGGTTCAATGATTCACAACTGTCCAGACACCCTCCAAACAAAGAAATAAAGGAAAAGCCATTTTCAACTGTTACTTCATCACATAAAATGAATATATCGAACAGTAAAAACATCATAAATATCTGATGTGCCAAGAAAGCAGCTTAAATCAACAACTACCTTCCTTTACAAAATGAACACTGATTTAGTGTCACACCACAGCAAGCTTCGTGAAACGTTGTGTTTTCTGTTAGTGCCTGTGGAGGCACAATTTTACAACTTCCCATCCTGGTTTTATACTCAAATTTCAGGAAGCACAATCAACTTCATCCATTCATTTATTTGACAGGCATTTACTGAGAATGAATTATGGGCCAGATACTGTGATAAGCACTAGGAATATAGAGATTTAAAAAGAAGGACAAGAAGCAGATCCCTGACCTCTCAGAACTCCGCCTACTGCAGGGTGGGGGTGGGGCAGTGGGTGACAGACAGACAAATAAACATATAGAACAGGGCTCTGTACAATTACTCATGGGGGGAGGGTGTAGAACATGGAAGAACCAGGAAGGGATTTCTAACTAAAGAGCTTCTGAGCTGTGTGTGTTGAACCCATGGGTTCTGGCAGATGATCGGGGATGTAAGTAAGAGGGACACAGAAGAAACACTCATGAAAAGCACAGCCCTTACAAAGCATGGAGGCAGGAACAAGCCACACATATTTTGGGGAAAATCTAAGATTTCCAGGTGATTGCCAAATACACTCGTTTGTGTATTGGCTTTCTATTGCCCTATAATAGCTGTTTATTTTTACAGGATCAGAATAGCATATACTTACAGAATTGAGGCTACTAAAAAAGAAGGGAAAATGAAGATGAGAATGGGGGAGTGGATCTATGATGAAGGAGTATGGGTATTTTGGTGGTGAATGTGGTGTGGAGACATGTGTCTGGGGAAACTTGTGCCCTTAAACCACTGTTGTAAACCAATGTTGACTGAGGAAGAGCTTCTAAGTGTTTAACTGTGGTTATGGACATTCTTTGGAGTTTCCTATGTTATTATTATTATTATTGTTAAGAATTATTTATTTATGCTCACAGAAACAGGGTACAGGGCAGAGGTGCAAGGGCATTGAGAGAATTCACCAGAGACAGAGTGGGGAGGAGAACAGGCTGACTGACAAAGTACATTGCTGAGGGGAGCAGTGGGCAGGACAGGGGAGGTCTGCCAAGCCATGTGGATCATCTCTGGGGCCAGGGATTGAACTCACACTGAAGTGGCTGCGCCTAGTATGTCTTTACTGGATCTCTTTTGGGTGTTCTAGATATACCATAATCATATGTGAACATATTTACATGACTATTTTTTGTATGTAGATTTACAGAAGCATATTAATTACCTTTTCTCCCTAGTATTTGTAGTACTCATTGAATTTTGCAGGAACTGGCTAAAAATTCCACAAGAATGTTGAATAATGTAGTGAAGGCAGCATCCCTGTCAAATTTCTCAATTAAAAATG